CTGACGAGGGTTACATTGATTGTTTCACAGAAGGACTATGAGACTGATCCGTAACCCTAACAACTATCCAGTGGTCCAACAAGACGGCGGCTATCAGCCAATGGCCGAGCGGGCAAAGTGTGACGTAAGTTCCTAAATTATGAATTTTATTATTATTATTATTATTATTATTATTATTATTATTATTATTATTATTATTATTATTATTATTGGTAACACAAAATTTCCCGACCGGCTGGAACCCGAATAATCAACTTCCTTCTCGCCGGTTGAACGTCGTCCACCTACAAAGAACTCTCACACCGAAGGGGTTTTCCGGTGAAGAGCCTCCAAAGCTTAAGTCAGTGTATATTCAATCAATTCTCAAGAGTGAGTAATAGAATGATCGTATTCAACAAGGAAAGCTCACCCCATATATATAGGGGTAAAATACCTGCCCTTAAGGCTGCCCGAATTTGATGAGCTGTCTGCCCTAACTGCCCATCCGTACACACAATGTGCGTGTTGTCAGAGGTAGTCGTCGCCACTATCGTCTGCACCAATACCCTTTCGACGCGTGTCCTCCTGCACATGGGTAAGCTATCAGAGGTGGCTGTCGCTATCAACCAATGTGTTCTCGACACGTGTCCTTCTACACATGGGGTGAATATTCTCCTGAAATTCTGTTAGAGGCTTTCACACGCGCCTGTGACTAGGCCGACCCGTGAAGTGTAAAGTCTACTGGGTGATCGATCAATTGAGGTTGACTAGGTTGCTCGATCACTTATCTTGCCGAGTGATGGATTGGTCGATTGCTTGACTGGTCGACTGGTCGACTGATTGACTGGTCGATCTTCCTGGCACTTAGCTTGGTTCCTCTATGGCGCAACCTCCTCGACCGGACCTTTGTGGGTATAATATCATATATCATCTAGTCCCCCCCACTCTGGTCGAGTCTGAATGACTCGATCTAAGAGTGAATTAGTGCTCACCGCTCTAATGGGTTGTATTTCACTCGGTATCGACCATCTGATGAGCTTCCCGCTTACTTTTTCAAATAATTCTTCATTAATTGCCAGAAATAAAGTCGCCTGTCACATGTCCTTTCTGTCGCGTTTGTTTTTCTGCCACGCGTCGCATCTGACAAGTACTTTACTCATTGCGTCTCCTCGCATGACGCTCCCACCTTGAGTGCCGTGTGGGTTAATGCTCTCCACCGCAACATCTGACTTTAATCCAACGGTTCTTATCTTTCAACCCTTTAATTTTCCAAGGTATAAATTCAACACTTAGCGAATTTTTTGAGTTTTTCCACCTTTGCAATTTTCGAACTCTTTATACTCTGTGCTTTTTCTGCAATATCTTAGCTTCATGTTCTCGGCGATTCCTCTTGCACTCTTCGGACTTTCTCAATCCCTTCATCTGCGACTATGAGTAAGTTGTTCCTCGCCTGAATTTACGTTTTCCCTATCTCGGATTTTGCATTTTTGAGTTTTTTGAATTGGGTATCTCAAATTTGCTTGTTGAATTTTCTGGATTTACGCGTATTATCCTGCATCTGTGCTCGGAATACTGTGATTTGTTTGTCGGTTGCTGTGAATTTTGCTTTTCCTTAATAATTTCTTGAACTTCATGTTCTTTCCCCTTCCAATTCTCCTGAATCGCTACTTCGACCACCTCCTCTGATTCGGTTTAAATATTTCCCCCTGCACTCGAAGCTGTTCCTCTCTCTATCCTTCGCCCGGCGATACTGTTCTCACCATTGTTTTCATAGCCCGCGTTGCTTCTCCTAATTTAGGGGATGTTATGGATAATGTTCCCCTCCGCCATCGTCGACCTTCCTTTGGCTCGTTAGATGAGCCAGAGGAGGACGAGGTAATCTCCTCTCAACCTACTTTCTCCATATCTTCGACCGTTCCTCCTTCTTCTTCTCAGCCTGGTCCACCGAACTCTCCTTCCAAAAAATCTTCGACCAAAAACCCCTGCAAAAAACCTCCACAAAGCGCCCTTCTTCTACCTCTCTCTCCAATAGTTGGTACACCCCTGAAAAGATCGGCCACCCTAGCAGTTGGGCGTTCTACAGGTCTTCTCCCTCTGACAAATACGATCATCCCCCGAGGGACTGCTATACAATTTTCGAAATCCAATTCAAACTTAGCCTCTGTTTTTCTCTGTGCCTCGAGCTGCTCCAAATCTGCGAATGGTTCGGGCTTCCTCTACACCAACTCCCCCCAAATGCCATCCGTTTTATGACCACCTTCATTATCCTTTGTCGCATCCGCCTGGGTCGGTTCAACCTTGCTTTCTTCCATTATTGTTACGCCCCTTCCAAACAAGGTCGAGGCCTTTATCTGAAAAGCCGAAACAACGCTAATTTTATCATTGACATTCCCACCAACATCCCCAAATGGATCGATACATTCATTTTCGTCGAGCCTGATGTCCCTTTTCTTTGGCCTTCCATCCCTTGGGTCAAGGAAGTTTCACAAGAGTGTTCGACTCCTCCTCCAAACCCTCTCTTCGACCAACAGATCCACACTTGGAATTCCAAACCCGTTGCGTCGGAGAAACTGCTCTAGGATGAGAGCCTTCTCCATTTTTGCGGCCTCCTCACTCACAAGGCTTGTCCTCCATCCACCGACAAGATCCTCGATCTTATCCGTATTGAAAATGACCAGGTAAGACTTGTTGATGACGATTGGTAGTTCAAGTATTTATGTGTTCCCTTGTTTTTGTTTAAGTAAGAATTGTTGATGTCGATTTTAATCCTTCTGTTATCTTTTTGCAGAGGTGCCGAGCTTCAACATCCCCTTGAGGAAGACTCCCCTCAAGAAGAAGTCTAGTCCCAGATCCACCTCTGGATCGACTGGGAATCAGGCAGAGCAAATAGAGGGATCGACCAATTCTCCTCGACCAGAGCCGTAACAACAAGCCCCGCCCGAGCCACAGCCTCAGCAACAATAACCACCGCCCCAGCCACAGCCGCAACAACAACCATCACAGCCATCTCATCAGCAGCAACAAAAACAGCCTTCCCATTCTCAGCATCAACAAAAGCAACCACTGGGAGGAACTCCGCCCACTCCTCTAGAGCAGTATCCATAACACAAAAATACCTCCTCCTCGACCACCAAAAACTCGACCTCCTCCAAAGCTGATGATCTCCAGCGAAAAACCCTTGACCGCCAACATAAAACCACTGAACGTCAACGCAAATCTGATGACCCTCAACACAAAACCATTGATCGCCAAAACCAAACCGACGACTGCCGTAAAAAAGTCGACCTTCGAGCCTCCAATCCCAAAGATACCACTCAATCCAAATCCCACGAAAAATCTTCCGAACCCAATGCCTCGTCCAAAACAAAGACCCAAGACAAACCTCCCCTCGACCATCCCTCCTTGAAGCATCCTCCTGCCAGCTCGACCAAGGCTCTAGTCGAGTCCAGTAGTCAGGACGACTCAAGACGCGAGCTGGCCTTGAGGAAGCGTTCTCGCACCGACCAAAGTGAGATGTTCTGGAAGCGAACGCGTACCAGCCATTCTCCGCCTGACCCACT